GGCCGACAGGCCGAGGATCTCAGGTGGAGCCGGAGGGACGAGGGAGCCAGGTGGAGCCGACAGGCTGAGGATCTCAGGTGGAGCCGGAGAGACGAGGGAGCCTGGTGTGGCCGACAGGCTGAGGATCTCAGGTGGAGCCGGAGGGACGAGGGAGCCAGGTGGAGCCGACAGGCTGAGGATCTCAGGTGGAGCTGGAGGGACGAGGGAGCCAGGTGGAGCCGACAGGCGAGGATCTCAGGTGGAGCCGGAGGGACGAGGGAGCCAGGTGGAGCCGACAGGCCGAGGATCTCAGGTGGAGCCGGAGGGATGAGGGAGCTATGCGGTAATGAAGGCACAGACGATTCAGGGTGAGAAGAGTTCCAGTCTATTAAACAGTCTCAAGCTCCAACAAGACTCCCACTGGTACGATGTTTGCCGGCTCACACCCCTGGTCAGACTCGCTTTGGGGAATTGGCTCTGGGGCAATGGTTTACATTTACATTTATGCATTTTTCTCTTGACTCTTTTATCCAAAGCGCATTTTAAGGTATAAATTTTACATTCTTATCAGTTCTTGCTTTCCCTGGGACTCAAACTCATGGGGAAACATTTTTGAAAGCAATCTTCGTTTTCTTATTTTTCCATCTTCCATTTGGGTCCGGTCATCGGTCACACATGGTAACAGGAAACACAATGAAGGTGAAGACCAGCAGATTTAATGCAGCTGCAGTTTTAGATAATGTTCCACCCTTATAACGAGCTTATTGGCCTCACCAGTGAAATTTTAATCTCATTTAGAGCTAGGTAAGCAGTAATTTAGGATCCTAAATGCAAAAATAAAGAAGCGTGACTTTTCCATTTCCAGGTGTTCTGTCATGCCTAATATGAGGTTTTTCGCTCCTGCTGCTGCATAACAATTATGAACTTTCAACTGAATGAAAATGTTTTTGTTTCAGACCAGAGAGGTGCCAGTATTGTGTAATTTCTCCACATGGGAATACGTGATCATGGCAGGTTTTACCTGCATTGCAGATCATTATTTTCCCTCTGGCTTGACCAAGCAAACCAATCTTTGCAGAAATGAATAGGCTTGTTGATGATGACAACCTCTCACACAGTATCGCTTCATTGGAAAAAAATGCATGCTTGGTGTTTGAATGCTTTCCTGATTATTGCACCTTATACCTTGGAGAAGCATGCCATGCAAATTATAGAGAAATCAGAGTGAATATTTGAAATAGAATCTTTTGTAACAATGACTCTTCAAAGCCACATCTGAACAAATAAATACACAACAATATATAAATTAATATGGCATCAACATTCACCTGCCGCTGACATGGAGACTGGCGGAGAGCACACAGGCTCAAAATAAACGGATCAATGTAATAAAGAAAGGTTAACTTAATAAGCAAAGCAGGTGGAAGAAGAGATGGAAGGATGGATGGAAACGTCCTGCATCCCATCAATCCGCTCCGCAGCTCGGGCTTTATATCTTTTTATTGCAGGATAATGACAAACTAATCTGCAGACCAGGACCAGGACAGTAAAGCACCTGTCTGACGTAAGACACATGTTTGAACCTCTACATGTGTGATATTCCCATGGAGAAACTCAAGCAGCTCTATCGTTGTTCCTCACTGCTTTTCAGTCATGTAGTCAAAGGCGTGTGTGTGTGTGATTGCATTCATAAGTGGTCAGATTTCATCCACCGGACAATTGAGTGGTCAAAAAACATCAAAGGGACAATGATTTACATCTACAGACCATAGAATATCACAGAGACTTTCAACATACCAACCACTCAAACCACCTTAGCAACTACCCAAAACACTTTATCAACCACATAGAAAAACGCTACAAAACACCCTAGCAACTACACCGGAACATACTAGAAACCGCATAGCATCATCCTAGCAACTACTCGGAAAATCCTAGTAACCGCATACCAATGCCCTATTAGTCATGCCCTAGAAACTACCCAGAACATCCCAGCAACCACATAGCAACGTCCTAACGACTACCCAGAAGACCCTAATAATCTCATAGCAACACCATAGTAACTACCCAGAACATCCCAGCAACCACATAGCAACGTCCTAACGACTACCCAGAAGACCCTAATAATCTCATAGCAACACCATAGTAACTACCCAGAGAATCCCAGCAACCACATAGCAACGTCCTAACAACTACCCAGAAGACCCTTATAACCTCATAGCAACACCCTAGCAACTACCCAGAGCATCCACAATGGGAAATAAGTCTAGGGACCACAATGGAAATAAGTCTTCGGGCTTTATTGTGTTATCCCTGACTACTTTTGTATTTGTTTTTAATGTATGCAACAGTTTTTCTTACTGTTCTTCATATTTTTATATTTAAGTGGTCAAATAAATCTAATCTAATCTAATCTAATCCCAGCAACCACATAGCAACATCCTAACGACTACCCAAAAGACCCTAATAAGCTTAGCAATACCCTAGCAACTACCCAGAGCATCCCAGCAACCACATAGCAACATCCTAACGACTACCCAAAAGACCCTAATAGCCTTAGCAATACCCTAGCAACTACCCAGAGCATCCCAGCAACCACATATAGTAGCAACATCCTAATGACTACACAGAAGACCCTAATAACCTCATAGCAACACCCTAGCAACTACCCAGAGCATCCCAGCAACCACATAGCAACATCCTAACGACTACCCAAAAGACCCTAATAACCTTAGCAATACCCTAGCAACTACCCAGAGCATTCCAGCAACCACATAGCAACATCCTAACGACTACCCAGAAGACCCTAATAACCTTAGCAATACCCTAGCAACTACCCAGAGCATCCCAGCAACCACATAGCAACATCCTAACGACTACCCAAAAGACCCTAATAGCCTTAGCAATACCCTAGCAACTACCCAGAGCATCCAAGCAACCACATATAATAGCAATATCCTAATGACTACCCAGAAGACCCTAATAACCTCATAGCAACACCCTAGCAACTACCCAGAGCATCCCAGCAACCACATAGCAACATCCTAACGACTACCCAGAAGACCCTAATAACCTTAGCAATACCCTAGCAACTACCCAGAGCATTCCAGCAACCACATAGCAACACAACGACTACCCAGAAGACCCTAATAATCTCATAGCAACACCCTAGCAACTACACAGAGCATCCCAGCAACCACATAACAAATCAGGATAAACCATTCAGTACACCCTAAACACATGGCATTGTTGCTGTAAATTATATTCACACACTTAGTAAATGAACTATACATGTGTACTAGAATTTGTAAGAAATTCAAACTCTGAGAGTACCAGTATGGATAAGCCTGCACTGGATCAGCTTAACCTGAGAGTAAATGTCTGAAATGCAAATGCTGTCGGTCTCTCTTCTGTGAGTGTCGAAGCCACACGCGCTCTCTCCTTCTTTCATCCTGAGGGTGGATCACAGACGTCTGTGGTGTTTAATGGCACTGGGATGACCGACTCACACACTGCACATGCTCATGCTGCGGGACAGAAACTCTGGAGGTGAGATATACTCCTCGATGACTTCCTTTCTTATGGAAATTTGACAGCTGTAACAACCAGACATTGGGATGGACGTGTGTGTCACTATGTGCTTTTCAATTTAGTCTCCTCAAGTCTCGGATATTTAGCTGCATCACATTCAACATGTGAGCAAACCGTAACTTCTTCTGCAGGGCTCCCCCTAGAGTTTAAACACACAACACACCCTTCATGCCATGAATAATTCATCCACATATACTGCCACGGATCAGATTTCTTCCCGTTAGTGCCAAATAATGTGCATGAATGATGAATTAGCCATATTTGGTAGGTGTCTCAAGGGAAAAGATAAGAAACAGAGTCTGTAGTTTATCCATGTCTGCAGACTTATTTCAGGATCATTCTTTTAAAAATCAATAATGTCATTTAAAAGAGTATAACTATAAAAGGGAATATCAGAAATATGCTCTGGTCAAGCTCATAATCTCAAACTTCATCAATAATGACTTGATTATTTATACAGCGGCCAGAAAATGAACAGAATGGAAGTATAGAGCATTGCTCAGAGGACTTCATCTTATGAAATGTTGATATTATGACACTGATTTCTGTCATTTATTCAGACAGAATGTGTTCAAACATCTTAATGTTAGAGATATGCAGATTCCCTTGTGAGGGACACCGCTGATAAATAAAAGGCGAGTGTATATTTTAATTCATTTGCGAGGAACTAGTTGTTTCCAAAATCGAATAAGTGGCTTTTACATTTTCATTTGTTAAAGGGATTGTTCACTTTGAAATACATTTTTGGTATGTTTTATCTTACCTCAAGGGCATCCAAGATGTAGGTGTCTTTGTTTCTGCAGTAGTTTCAATTTTGATATTTTTAGGTCAAACCGTTCGTGTCTGTCAGTAATATGGAGGTCTATGGTCACCACCTCAAAGAGCATGCACAGAGAAGTCCAAATTAAACATGATTTATGACGTGGTTGTGGATACAAGAGGTAAAAACGATACAAATACTGTTCATTTTCTCACACAAACCGCCCGTTTCGTGTCTTGGGCCATCAATGTGTACTTACATTTACGAGTCATTAAATCATGTTTAATTTGGACTTCTCTGTGCATGCTCTTTAAGGTGGTGACCATAGACCTGCATTATATGACTGACAGACAAGAACGGTTTGACCTAAAAAAATCAAAATTGAAAATACTGCGGAAACAAAGACACCTACATCTTGGATGCCCTTGAGGTAAGCTAAAATTAATTTCAAAGTGAACTATCCCTTTAAGAGTCCTTTTTGTAGCACGTGACGGGGACATACTGTACAGATGTGCTGCACTGTAAATTTTTTACAAAAATGAATTTTTTATACAACAACAAAGTCTAAAACACCGAGTTAATATATTGGGAGTGTAGTGTTTTGTTAGATTTGTCAGCCTCATCCAGTGGAGAGCAGTGGCACTGCAGGATGGGAGAACGAGAGGAAGTTCTTGAGGAACTTCTGGCAGAGCAGAATCCTGAGTTTTTTTTTCCCCTCCTCGGGAGAAGAAGTGAATCTAGTTCCGTTAACGGAGGAATAGAGGGGGGACGTCATCGAACTTGTGGGGAAAACGAGATTTCCGACGCTTTCTTGCTTTCTACGCCGAATCTCTTATGGAAAAACTGGGAAAAGAGTGAACTTTCCTCCCCGCGTCCCGAGGAAAACTTCACCAACAGAAGGGGCGATGAGATGCGAGTGAGCTATGCCTTGTAGAAATGGACAGATTGTGTTTAAGCGAAAACATGGCGTCTGTCTCCCAAAGTTTGGATTATTTTCCAGTCTGCTCTTTGCACTCTTTTGCCTCGAGGCGCGCTCGGGTGTCACGGCGGACGGGGGAGCGTGCAGCCCGTGCCCGGGGAACTGCTCGTGCACGGCGGTGGGACCCCAAAACTTGTGCGTGGTTAATTGTTCCAACATCGGACTGGATCAGGCCCCCGCGGCGTCCGGCCTGCCCACCGAAACACACACTCTGTAAGTGACCGTGGCTCGCCGAATAGCCCCGGGCGGGTTTGCGGGTGTTTGTTGTGATGTGACTGAGGTGACGGGTGGAGAATGTTGGATGATGGCTGGTGTAATACTTCTGACTACCACTGTTTATCTGTCAATCATAACTCGGGATGTCTGGATTTGAACATTTGAAAGGCTGAAACACGTGCCAAGCTCACGTTTTTGAAAATACACTAGGAATTCTAAATTCTAAACGTCAGGCTCTGAACATCTAGTAAAAATTCGAATCTTATAACGTCACATTCTTTAAAAAAAAAAAAAAAAAGAAGCATTCATTGAACCTTTCCACAGCACACAATTATTTAGGTAATTAAAATGTTCTTCACACTAAGGAAAACATGTTTCTTTTAAGAACTGTTCACTGAAAGGTTCTTTTAGGGGAACCAAAAATGAACTTTTATTTTTAATAGTTTATTATTTTATTGATGCGTGCTAACAATGAGGGTTATGTGACATAAAAATCAACTATTTTGTGTTTTTGTCACATGACAACAAAATGGCTTCCCGCATAAACATTAGACTGACTTTGATTTGGCGACCGAAAGTTTTTCAATTGTTAATATTTTAAGTATTTTGTATTATTGAGTGTTTTTCCCAAAATTTCAGACATTTCATGGGACTTTTCTCTATCTCTCGTTTTTTTATACAGACAGATACATTTTTTACTTTAAAGTCGGCATGAAATGAAAGTCGCAATAGTCTTTTCTTCGCTATTGTGACTTATGTCCAAATTAAGTGATTTCTCGAACAAGAAAAAATGTAGAGCGGGACTTTATTTCTTCCTTGGTGAAGTGATTGGATGGTTGTGGTTTGCTATTGGTGGACCTCATGTGAGTGACATGTTTCCCCGCCCTCGCACCAGTAAACACATCATCATCATCATCATCAGAGATGTAACAAGGTTACATAAAAAATAATAATGAATGAATTCCTATTACTAGTGCTGTCAAATCGATTAATCGCGAAATATATCATACATGTTTGGAAATATGTTAATGTGTGCACATATTTATAAGCTACACACACATGTATAGTATATACACACATTTTTATGTTAGATGTGATTAATCGCAATTAATTGATTTGACAGCACTATTCATTACTCACTACCCAACTGAACTTATAGTATTGTGTGGGATTTATCTCAGTATGTAAAAATTGCCAAAAAGTCATACTTAGTCTTTCTCTAAGTGTATAAAAAGACATCTCAACGCAAGGGAAAGGTTGAGATAGCTACACAAGTGTATTCCTCGATTTAACACACACACACACACACACACATTGGACAGTTCACGCAGGTAGCCATGTGACGCGTCCTTGCGTTGAGAACACTGTGTACTTTACTGTGGTTTCTGTGGCGCTCGCGCTCCAGCATGTGTTATCCATTCACACAGGCGAGAGATGATGATACTTTGAACTCTCTTTTTTTAGAAACATAAAGTTTAAGACACAAAATCTTTCATCAGGCAACTGTTGTAAAGTTGGCTGTAATAATAACGATAGGCTGCTACATTTCCAGGGCTCTTCTATACAGGGCTTGTTATTGCATGTTTTTCTCCAGTGAATATGGTGTTTATTTCTGAAGGTCCATTTCTGTAATCACAAAGCATAAAGTCTTTGCTACAAATTATTGCCCATGAAAAAAGACACAGTTCATTGAACACAACTAATAGAAGGGCTAAATATAACGATATTGAAAAGATGATATTGAAACAACAAACAAGCATTTGTGCAATTAGTCTAGAAGTCTTATAGTTACTAAGATGTACAGTTTGTGACAACTAGCCCCTGCCTAGTTCATGAAGTCACACTTTTGCATAGTTTTTTCACAGTTCTTTTCTCATGTTTTTGGTGAGATATGTTTCTGGTAACATAAAGCACTTGAAGTTTTAACCAAACACACTTGAGATTCTTTGAAGCGAGGGATGCTAAAGAAGGATAAAGTTAGCGTGTTTTTAATCCGATTGTGTTATTATTAGCAATGCTTCATTTAACTGTTTCGTGTGTGTGTGTGTTTTCCTCACTAAAGCCGTTAGGTACACAAGTACACTTTTCTGTTTAAAAGTTTGCCGTGAAAATGACGCACACACACTCGCGAGGATGTAGATGGACCACTATCTGGCCGCGAGCCCGTCTCTCAGGTTCACAGCTGCAAACTCGCTGAAATCCAGTCGAGACTCAAGAGTGTGTGTGTGTGCGCGAATTGAACCTGCCTCAGTCATCTTCTTTCATAGGACGTTGTGTGATTGCATATTGGAAATCCATTTCCATCTGTTGGAGGTGCATTGAGCGTGGATGGACACACGCTGCAGTTCACTCTGCCACACGCTAACGCCACATTCTCTCTGGTTTCTCCTCATGCAATGATTCAGTGACTCGCTCATGTTGATTCAGTGACTCACAGCAGTGATGTAATGTGCTTCAGTGGGACTTTGATTCCTCTCAGTTGCAGTGACTCTATTAGGTGATATGGTTTTTGCTGGTCTGCAGCATTTTTATTTGTAAAGAAATTATTTTACTGATATGAAAAGTTTGAAACATTTTGCACAAAGTTATTTTAAGTTAAAAGATTTTCGTTGAACTAAGTTGAATTTCCCCCCTAAATATGAAGAACTCTTTAATAATTAAATAGAGATAATTAATAATATAATATAGAATAGATATAGGAGGTGCATTCTTCGGCTTTTTGTGTTGGTCAATATTGGTCTGGGCTGGTCTACAGAGGTCTTGATTGTTTGTGGTGGTCTTTACTGGTTCTTGTTGGTTTACACTGTTGTTGTTTTTAAAAAAAATGTTTTAAATGCATAGCATTTGTTAACATCTACAGAGGACTTGATTGGTCCGTAGAGTTCTCTATTGGTTTTTGATGGTCTTGCAGTGTTGTTGTTATTTCAAAGTTTTTTTATATTTTATGTGCCTAATATTTTACATGCAAAAAGTTTGAAACATTTTGCACAATTAAACTAAAAGACCCCCCCCCCCAGAAAAAAAACTATTAAGAACTATTTTAACAATCAATTACTTAAATATAGATAACTACTTTAAACTTAAAACCACTTTAAAATTCAAACTAATTTACACTTTAAACTACTTTAAACTTAAAACTACTTTAAAATTCAAACTAATTTACACTTTAAACTACTTTAAACTTCAAACTAATTTAAAATTTAAACTAATTTACACTTTAAATTACATTAAACTTCAAAATAATTTAAAATTCAAACTAATTTTTAAACTACTTTAAACTTCACACTACTTTAAAATTCAAACTAATTTACACTTTAAACTACTTTAAACTTCACACTACTTTAAAATTCAAACTAATTTACAATTTAAACTACTTTAAACTTAAAACTACTTTAAAATTCAAACTAATTTACACTTTAAACTACTTTAAACTTCAAACTAATTTAAAATTCAAACTAATTTACACTTTAAACTACTTTAAACTTCAAACTACTTTAAAATTCAAACTAATTTACACTTTTAACTACTTTAAACTTCAAACTAATTTAAAATTCAAACTAATTTACAGTTTTAACTACTTTAAACTTCACACTACTTTAAAATTCAAACTAATTTACACTTTAAACTACTTCTTCAAACTTTCTGGTCCAAATTTTCAGAAGCCAATTTAAATTTTTTTCTCGACAAACTTTTTAATCTAATTTAATTTGTCTACAGATGGCTTTGGTTTGAAGTGGTCTTTCAAACTTATATATTTTTATTGACAACATTTGAAATGTTTTATGATACTTACCATATAACATACCTGACACATATTAAAGTTATTTATAGTTAGCATTTTGTTGATAGACAGCTTACATTTATATTTACATTTAATCAGGTAGGTATACAGAGAAAATATATAATATATTAAAAAGGTATTTTCCAGTGGTCTGTAGTGGTCTTCAGCGATCATTGTTAGTTTTTGTGTCTTCTTCTTGCCCAGGTCTGTGCTCTTCTGTCTGAGCTTTGTTACTGTGTGGAAACGAGACCGTCGACTAAAAAAAACGGACTGAATTTCTGCTCTCAGAAATGGTTCGATCTCGCCAAGAAATCATGAGTTTCTCTGTGTGTGTACGTGTGTTTTACAGGCTGGGATAAAACTCACTGACCATATGTAATGAGAGGTTTATTTTGTTGCCATGGCAGTCTCACATCATGACATCACCCGTACACAGAAGCACGGTAATAAAGACGGCCGGAAAAGACATATTTCACACCGACAGCACGTCTCTGACGCTTTGAAAATTCTTTAAATCTTCAAGTAAGTGCTCAGGAAGTTAAAGATCCACATTCACCCGTAAGTGTTCAACTTTAGGGTGACATATAGTGATGGTTGACTTTGAGAAAACACCACTCGCAACCTTTTATTCCACGTTTGTCACCTTTCTTGCTTCAAGGACGCATGAAAAACACAAATAGACCCGATCTAGAGTTTAACTCCAGTTTCCAGGAAGTTTTGTTCCAGACAGAGTTAGCCATGCTAGTCATTGTAGCATAATTCACTGTTTCATCATTAACTCGCTAATGCTAGTCTAGTTGTTATATTTGGGTATGCTATGCCTCCTCCTTCACTCCTGCATTTATCTATCGGTTCATTCCCATGGAAGTGAGAATAACCGCTCATGCATTTCCCTGGATCCTCTCACATCTCTTTCCGCTCGAGGCGGTAAAGCGTCAAACCTTGGCAACACCGAGGCAAGCAAGTCCACTGTGCTTGAGTTACTGCACAATGGCCAAATGAGGAATAATAACACACTGTGAAGGCTTTGATAACCCTGCGTGTGTGTGTGTGTTTTCTGCACATGTATTTGTGTCCTTGATACATTTGTCCCTGTTTTTTCCTACTGGTTCAGGACTGACTTTAACTGAAAGACCCCATGAAATCAAAACTAGACTTTTGTGGCTTGTAGTCCATGTCTGTTATCCCCATTTTAAATGTTATGTTGAGGTCTTTC